GGGACAGAGGGCAGTGGTATCCAATGAGTCACTTGAGTGGTTTTCTGGACTGTGATGTCACCGTTTTTCCCTCTCTTCTCTGACCTTCAATAAAAGTCCACTCGACTCAACAACCTTATGCTAATGGGGCTCTGGGGATTGGAGGACGTGAGGCTCAAACCGTTACCCAGCGCAATGGCGGGTGGTGAGCTGTTTAGTACTGGCCCAGTGAGGATGACCCAGAACAATGCAGTTCTCTTGAGGGCTCTCCTTGAAGAATCCCAGAGGAATGGGCGGTGGAGGGCTGGGCTCTCCAGGATTTCCCACAATACACGGGATGGGAGCTCCAGACATTCTTTTTTTCTCTCTCTAGTGAAAGAAAGGCCGGTAGTGTCCACAGGGATTGCTTTTGGGGTGAATTACAGAAGTTAATCTATGTCCAGAGACTGGCATATAGGAAGTACTCAATGAGATTTTTGGTGCTACTAGTTTTAGTATTGGAACAGAGGTTCATAAAGACCTTTTAAGATTTCATATGAATTTCAGGATTATTTTCCTCCATCTGTAAAGAGTGTCATTGGTAGTTTTATGGGCATTGCACTGAATCTACAGCTTGCTGTGAGTGATAGTGTTCATCTTCCTAATTTACAAATATACATGCCCATCCCATCTTATTTGAATCTTGTTCAATTTCATTTATTAAAATTTTATCCTTCCTTCCTTCCTTCCTTCCTCTCTCTCTTTCTTCCTTCCTTCCTCTCTTCCTTTCTTCCTCTCTCTTTCTTTCTCTCTCTCTTTCTCTCCTTTCTTTCTCTCTCTCTCTCTCTCTCTTTCTTTCTCTCTCTCTTTCTTTGTCCTAAGGCTTGAACTCTGGGCCTGAGTTCCTTTTTGCTCAAAGCTAGCACTCTGCCACTTGAGCCACAGAACCGCTTCTGTCTTTTTCTGTGATTTAATTGGAGATAAGCGTCTCTCAGACTTTCTGTCCAGGCTGGCTTAGAACCAAGCCCCTCAGCTCTCAGCCTCCTGAATAGCTAGGATTACAGATGTCAGCCTGTGATCAGTGTCCTACAATTTTCCCTGTAGAGCTCTTTCACTTCTTTGGTTGAGTCATTTTATCTTATTTTGTTTTTGTAGCTATTGTCTATGGGAGTCTCTCATGCTTCCTTTTACAGCAAATTCATTACTGATACAAAGAAAAGAGAACTATTATTTTTTTTTCTTTTTGGTATGTTGATTTTGTGTCCTGCTATTTTACTGAATTTGTAATTTTTCGGTGGAACTTGTAATCAAATGATAGACTCTCTCCTGCTGATCTCCAGTGTTTCCCCACGGTCACCTCCTCAAAATGCAGCCACACACCTGTGCTCTGGTTCTTTGTGGGAGGACAGGTGAGCACTCTGCTCCTCTCTTCAGCCATCGGCCCCCTGTCACCATCCTTTACAATCAACATGCTCAGTTTTCTCTCTGGTTTTATTTTATAAACTCAGGGGGCATATAAAACTAGCCAACTCTTGAAGAAAACACTTCTACCCTAGCACATTCCTGAAAAGAACATTTGCCTTCCCAGCACCTAATTTCTGTCAAAAGATCATTTTCAGAAAAGATCAAAACATAATCCTCATCTAAAAATAAAATGTATTCATTTCAAAACTTGTGATTGTAAGTTAATATGATAAAATTGGTTCAGTGGGATAGCCCAATAGCAGAAAGATTTATACAGAGACAATCAGGGAATATTGCATTGCATTTGCTGGATGTACAGTAATGGACATTTATTTTTATAATGCATTACAGCATAATGTTTGAAATAGGCATGTCTATCAGGCGAAATCCATTAGGTCTCTAACCAACAAGATGAATTTGCATTTCTAGAGAAAATATCTTTCAGCATTATAAATCACCAACCAGAGATAATAAAAGGTATAGACCTCTAAGCCTTTAATTCCCATCAACAGGTGTGCAATAGAACCCTTAACATTCTACTGATGGCTATCCAGTTATTTGTTTCCATCTCAAAGTCTTCTGCTGTCTTTCTATTCATTAGGAACCAACCTGCAACTTGAAGAAAATCCAAACAACTGATTTATTAAATACCCTTGCTTTATTATAGCTGTATGTGTAGATGGACATATTACTTTGGTGCACAAACCGAGAGATTCAAAATATACACATTTTGATCATCTTCGGACACATTAGCCTAGGGGGGGGTCTCGGTTCTGGAAGCTTCTATTTTAATCTAGAAGCCTCCACTGTCAGCCAATGACAGCCTTTTTTGAGGACAGGGGCAGATACTGACTTTGAACTGGGCAGGTGCTCTACCACTCAAGCCATGGCCCAAACCCTATTTGCTTGTGTTTTTGTATGTTTTTTGGGGGGGAGGGAGCAGGGTCTCATCTTTATTCTGGGCTGGCTAGGACCATAATCCTATTAATGTTTTCCACATAGTTAGGACGAAAGGCACACACACCACGCCCAGCTTTGAACTGGTTGAGTGTAGTCTCACAAACTTTTTGCCCAGGCTGGACTTACACTGTGCACCACCACCACCACTACCACCCCACGCCCAGATTTCAGCCTACTCCATTGCTAGGATGACAGGTGTGAGCCAGGAGCAGTCGCGGTAAACAGACAAAAGCGACCACTTGATTGGGAGAAACTCCGCAGAGGGACCGCGGTGCATGTTCACAAGCTCCAGTGGTGTGGCTGTGGTGGTAGTATTTACAACCATGGAAATAATGAAGGATTCTGCGGTTGCACTAACGTTTCAAAGCGCACGGAAGCGCATTTCTCTAGGTGTAGCAGCAGCATGGCGGTCTCTCCCTGGATCCTCTCTGGCCTTCAGATTAGCCAGGGAGCTTAGGAAAGATGGAGGGGGCTGGGCAGGAAATGCAGAGCCTGCCTCTGCCGCCGCTTCCAGAGGAAATGCTGGCCTTGTACAGCAGTTTTCCTCTTGCCCTGTTATCTTACTGCTTTGAGCCTTTATCCACCCCCCTTCCCCTTGTTTCTCCCACTGTCTGTCCTTCCCCCTTTCTCCTCCCACCCCTGCCCCCCTTGCTCCCTCCTCTTTCCCTTTTCCCTCTGCACACTTCCCTTGAACACTGCTTTTATCCCCCCTCTGTGCTCGCCTCTTATGACCTCAGACGTCCGTTCAGCCTTACTAATTTTAGTCCTCTCTGGGAGGCATACCTAAAGCTTCACCTTCCACATAAAGGTCGTCCCTACCGGCGGCTCACAACTCCGTCTGATCATATGGAGGAGGCAAAGCCCAGCCTATGGCTAACGTGGCAGCTTAATATCAAACCACAGTTGTGTCCCCTGGCTTGTGGCTCCGCTTGGTCTATCAGAGTTCAAGCTATAAAACCATGACAACAAATATGTTTTCTCTTGAGTTGTATACTTGCTCTTTACCCTGAAGGATTGAATGTAACTCTGATTCATAAACTCATTACTCATGAACTTACACAAATCAAACACTGTTGGGTTCGGGTCCTGGGGTCATGATGTTGACACAAACCCATTTCAAGCAATTCCCATACATACATGCAGAGAGAAAACAGGGAGGGAGGAGAGGGGAGACTGAGGAGAGGGCAGGCACAGGGGGACTTTGAGTAAAGTAGGAGATGCGCTTGTGCCAGGTTAAAGTGTTGGGATTTATTTACTTGTTTTGTAGTTTTGTTGTTGTGATGGGGCTTGAACTCAGGATCTGGGCACTGTCCCCGAGCTTTTCCTACTCTACCACTCTGAGCCACAGCACTGCTTCTAGTTTTCTGGTGGTTGACTGGAGATAAGAGTCTCAAGGGCTTTCCTGCCTGGCTGGCTTTGAACTTCGATCCTCAGATCTCAGCCTCGTGAGTAGTGAGGATGACAGGCGTGAGCCACCAGTGCCTGGCAGGGTTTTCTTTTGTCTGAGCTAGTGGAGGATTTTAAGCATGATAGCCGCACCACAAAGACGGTGTTGGGGAGATTCCTTCACTTCCAGGAGAGGAGGCAGGGAGTGGAGATGACCCATCAGAGCAGCAAGGAGGCCGCAGGTGTGATTTGAAGTCACTTTTGTGGGCTGTGCCCACAGCTCAGCGTCCCCCTTCACACCAGGCAGAATGCACAGAGCGTGGAGATGGTCCAGGTCTCTCAATAACCCAGGCTGTGAGAACCAAGAGGACTAGAGGTCCAGCCTCCTCTGTGGCCAGCATTGGCTTTGAGGGAAAGACTTCCCGTGCAATGCAATGTCCCAGGCCCTGGGACCAGACCCCTCCATCCCCACACAGGCCCCAGGATGCACCTTCTCTCCATCTCTATGGATGTCCAACGATCCTGCTTTCAGCCTTCAGGTAATAGTTGACCACCTACGGCTGACTGAGAGCCTGAGGACCTGAGGAGAATTTGTTTTATTTGATGACGATGAAGAGAGTTCCAGCAGCTTTGCCAGTGAGGAAAGGCTTGTGGCGGGGGACCCGCGTCTTCCTGTCTTCCTGCTCTTTCCTGCTTCCCACCAGCTGCTCTGGAGAGCCACATCTGGACACAGCCAGCCGGCCCTGCAGCTCAGTGGACAAGGATGAGGGCCTTCTTGACTTTTGCAGAGTTAAACACTTGGGGAGACTTCAGGAAGAGAGTCCTTGGCGTGGAGAGTGCAACTCACTGATCCAGTAGCTCCCTGCCTGGGGCTGAGTTTCTTCTTGTTTTCATGGCTCTCAGAGTATTTGCTCTCTCCTTTCCCATAGTCAGGGGACAGGTTTAAATTTCATGTTTCCTCTAGGGAGCCGAGAGAGAGAGAGAGAGAGAGAGAGAGAGAGAGAGAGAGAGAGAGAGAGACAGAGACAGAGAGAGAGAGAGAGAGAGAGAGAGAGAGAGAGAGAGAGAGAAGCAAGAGCCACCAAATCCAGGAAATCATGTGGAGAGGCTCTCTTATTACAGTTCCCCAGTTCCCCTATTACTTCCCTCCCCACCCCCACCGGGCCTCCACCTCCAGCCACAGGGTGGCTCTTGGCTTCTCCCCGCAGAGGCAGTTTGGACCTGGGCTCTCACGGGTGTCAGCCTGAGGGAGCCCCAGCTGAGGTCTGCCCTTGCCAAATCCCGCCCTTGTCTGCTTGCCCGATTGAATGGGACACCGGGAGCATCACCTCACTTAAGAGGTTGTTGAGGGAAGATCATCAGGAGAGGGTTAATTTTCAGGAGGCTGCAGAGCACAGAAGAGAAAGGTAGGTCCCTGTGCTATTTTGCCTTTTCTGGTTGTGTGCGAGCCCTCAGTGCTCCAGGGCAGGTAGGAGTGCCCGTGTCTGCGCAGCACTCCTCGGCTGCCTGGTCCCCCGCCCCATTCCTGGTGGAGCTTTGGTTGGGTTACAGGACTGTGAGAAAATACAGCAAGAGCTTTGAACCTGCATCTCTCTTCAGGAACATCACAAGCATCGCACGTGAAAACAATGCTTATGTTCTTCGCAGGGCAAATCTCATTAGAAGTTGTTTTTGTTTGTCTTTTCTTTTTTACTTCTACATAAGAGGAAAAGTTTACCAGTTGCTTTTTGTTTTCCACCGTGTAGACATTTATCATGATTTTAAAAACGATTTCTTGGTGAGCTTGCCTTGTCTCCTCCCGTAGTTAAGGAAGAGAATTTGGTAAGAGAATTAGAACAAGTGCTTCCAGTATAGAGCATGGGAGTACTAACTGTGAAGAAATCTGACGTTTCATAAACATGGGTGCATCCAGCTAAGGCACTTTGGAGGACCTAAGGCTGTTTTCTGGAATTTTCTATGGAATAATTACTCTCTTTAAGGTTTCCTCAAATCTGGTGTACATGACGGCTAATTTTGTGTCCTCCTTTATCATTGCCACCTGTGGGAAGGGAGCTCGCCCTCTCTCTAGCTACTCTGTGTACCCGCTCCTGTGTACTTGCCGTTGGGAGTTCAAGATTATGAGCCAGCTGAAATCTAGAGAAAGGCCCAAGGCGTAGTCCTCTGGCATATTATTATTTTTGGTCCGGTTTCTTATATTCTTGTTTTAATTTCAGCTTCATGGCCAGCTATCTGTTTGGGAGAAACATTCTATACCGAGTCGCATGAGCTAGCAGCCCTTATTTATTCCTAGTTATCACACTTGCACTGTTCTTGTTTGGCTGGGTAAGCTCAGATGCATGTAATTCCGTGTTGCTCTGAGTGTTACGTGGGTTGTATGTCCCTGCGTTCCATTTTCCGTATTCTGCCAGGGGAGTTGGGAAGAGGCAATTCTGATCATGTCACTCTTCTCAGAGAGACAAATCCATCACCCTCCACTGTGAGGGTCAGGGGGGGCCTCTGGCATCATCTACACGTGTGTTAGAGATGCAAATTTTCCACGTGTTCCACACAGTTACCCAATCCGCGTTCTATCAAGGCTCCTGGGTGGATAACGGTGATGAAGTTGGTGAAGGGTTGAGTTAGAGAGGGTCCAGAAGACGTTCGAGGTCTACCTTCTGGCTCTCCTCTCCTTAGCTGGCTTTCCACCTGTGCGAAACACTCCAGCGTGTCTGGGCCTCCCATTCTCCCCACCTGGGCACCATTCCACCTTCTGTATTCGATTATCCCCTGCTGCCTGATTTTTACCCCTCGTGCCACAGCTCTGGTTCTGGCCTTCTCAAGTATCGACAGGCCTGTGATTGTATAAGACCCCGGGGAACGACTTCAGACACGGGCCTGAGTGCATTCCCCGATGGTTAAAAATGGCGGCTTCACCTCATCACCGAGGAAACACGAGCCAGGGGAGCCTGGCACTGGGACAATGCCTGTGCTCCACCCGGGCCTGATGGCATGCATGAGGGAATGAGTGAACGGACGCATGAACACACTGCCTGAAGAATCTGCTTGATCACAATGAAATCACTGGTGAATGCTTTCCAGGGACGCTGCCCGTCTCCTAACATGGTACCATGCACTTTATGTTTAGGAGTCTTGGCTGGGTGTATTTATCCACCGAAGGGTTGTGTTATTTTTGTCTGCTTGTTCCTTTTGAGACAAGGTCTCTGCTTACTATGTAGTCCAGGGACTTGAGTTTTCAGTCCTTCTACCTCTGCCTCCCTCACGCTGGGATTATAGGCATTCATTATCACACCTGGCTCACCAAATCCTCTGCAGAGCCATTGTGTGTGTCTCTCAGAATGTCTGTCTTCACGCCTCCCATCTGTGTTTCCCAGTCTCTGCTTCTTGCCCTTTGCCACGGGCAGTGAGGAACTTGCTGTTTAAGCAGTACATTCTGGGCCCTGCCATGTGCCAGACCCTTTGCCGTGTGTGTGCATGGGACCTAGCCGCCGAGGTATGAACCCCATCCCCATGCCACTCCCCGCACGGAGGACTCTTATCCCCCTCCACCCTGTCCCTCCCTCTGGAAGCATTAAGGAAAACTAAAAAGGACCTGAAGTCTTAACACCTGTTAACACACACACGTGCAAAGGCGTCCCATGCTCAAACGTGGCACCAATGAGGAAAAAGTGACCCTGTGTGCACTCTGGGCTCTGAGTGGCCTCCTGCCCCTTCCAGGTGAATTAGCGTGGGCCCACAACCTTTCCGGAAGCCTTGCTTTGTCCGGGCAGTGAACAAGACAGCACTGCTGGGGAGAGGAGGCCTTGGCCATGGCTGGGTGCCACCAGGTGCGCATTCCCCCCTCCCCCCGCCCCCCCCCACGCTATGCAGTGCTCAGGGGCAGGATAGGAATGAGGGCCAAGGGGAATCGCTCCATCTCTGTACCCACGTGCTCAACTATGGAGACGAACACTGAGCTTCGGTACCCAGAGAGCGGAGTGGCGATGGATTTCACGAAGCAGTGACCCACAGGCCAGAGCATTCTCTTCCATGTTACAGGAGTTACCCAGGCAGTGCCGACATGAATGAAGGTAATCGAGAAGAGAGACTTTCTAGAAGTGACCTGCACTTCTTAGAAAGCAGCCAGGAGAAGCAGGAAAAGTCTAGAAGCTTCTAGACATAAAGCCAGCCAGTCCCTCTCGAGAGCATGATTTTGCTGCAAAATCTCCCTTTCTGACTAGCTGTGGGATTTCCTGAATATTCGCGTGCTAGCTAAGTTCCTTTATACTGGGGTAAGACATGGTGTCATTTGCCCAGGCCAGGCCTGGAACTCTTGTGAGTGCATAGACAGTGGTTAGAACACAAAGGCCTTCTCTGTTCCCCAGGCCCAACCTCCACCCTTAGCACGGTGTGCTCAGCTGACCCCTCTCACGTTTGCCAAGCCCTCTTCTCCCGCTTTTCCATCATGGAAGCTTCCAGACGAGGCACCACCTCGAGATCCCTGACGCTCTCTTTCTCCCTAGTCCTCAGACATCTCTTCGCATGCTCATCTTTTGACAGCGGCCTTACCGTGATGTTGCTTTTGCCAGTCTTTTCCTAACTGCCTACATTCACACTGAAGTCGATTCATAGACCCAAGTAGTAGCAACAAAGATCATGTTAACCTGGTTTCTGATGGACTGCCACAGATCTGATGATATAGGAGTCCAAATTTAGCTATAACTAGTTTCAACATTTCTCTCTCTTTTTTTTTCTAATCAGAAGCATATAGTAGGCAGAGTACAACTTAAATCTCTCTCACTTGTTATATCTGCAAATAAGTAATTGTAACTTGCTAAATCTGGTTTTTGTTTCTGGAAATATATATATATATATATATTAATATTTGGGGAACTAACGTGACAAATATATTGCTTCAAGAAAGATACCAGATCCCGGAGCTGGCACAGAGGCTCACACCTATAATTCAGCTACATGGGGGAAGGGGTATAGCTGGGGTGGATCATGGTTTGAGGTCGGCCTGGGCAAAAAGTTAGCAAGACTCCATCTCAACATCTTACTCAGGCATGGTGGCTGATGATGGTAAAGACCACCAGATAGGCAGGAGCCATAGATGAGAGCATCACAGGCAGAGGCTGTTTTGGACAAAAATAACCTAAAAGCAAAATAAGCTGAGGGCCTGGTTCAAGTGGAAGAGCTCTTTCTTTCTCTGTCTCTGTCTCTCTTTCTCTTCTGTGTGTTTGTGTCTATCTTCAAAGGGGAAGCTGGCCAAGATGGTAAAAGTGAGGAAATGGTCACTCTCTGAATATATAGGGACTGCTGGAAGATGGAATCCAATCTTGTGGGCATGTAGGCTGTCTATAAATATTTGAATTTGAGAGAGAGAGAGAGAGAGAGAGAGAGAGAGAGAGAGAGAGAGAGAGAAGGGCCTGAAGGTCAGCAGGTAGAAATTGTAGACTCACTGATTTCAGTGCTGTGCAAAGAAGGATTTAGCCATCATCAGAACTGTCTGGAAGGGGGGAGCTTGTGGTCCAGTGAATGCCCTGTCCTGGGCAGGGCTCCAGCACCGGCGGAGACAGGGGCTGGGGTGTTCCCAGGGGGATGCCTGCCCTGGGTGGGGTTGGGGTGATGACCTCAAAGGTCCCTTCCCACTTCCAGGAATCTCATGATGTCAGCGCCCTAACCCGAGACACCAAAAAAAAAAGAAGGCTGGAGTGATGGAGGCTGACTTTTGACTCCTTTTTTTTTCTTCTTTAATAATTTTAAAATAGGCTCCTCGCAGCAACAATTAAGTAGGCTGGGCTTCCAGGAAAAAGCGAAAAAGGAAATGAGGCTACTGAGGAAAGAAAGGTCCACTCAAACCCTCCATCAGCTGAAGCTGGAGTGTGGCTCAGTCCTGGTGCGGGCACGTGGACAGACACCAGCTACATTTTAGTGGTTTATTGTTTTTTTTTTTTCTGCCAAAGTAGTCAGGCAGCCATCAGTGAGACTTGGGTCAGTGTCCCGGCTTTCTTCTTCTTCTACTCCATGGATAAGTGCTTGTAGCACCTCACAAATCTAACTCTGAAAGTATAAAAAAGTGGTTCTACCAGCCTCTCCATTGCAAGGTCTGTGGGTGGGATGTCTGATTTTTGAGGTGAACAGACAGAGCTCTGTGGGGCTGGCCGCTCGCTGTGAGTCAGGTTCATCATGGTCTGCCTTCTGGCATGTTTTCTTCTCCGAATCTACTTGTCTGACCACTTGGGACCACCACCCCCTGCGCATGCCTTTGCTTCCTTCCAGCTTGCTGTGAGATGCTGTGCATGTGAGAGACAGACAGACAGACAGAGAGCCCCATAGTCCTTTCAACATAAATCGGTCTCACACTGTCCCTTAAAAGCAAAGCCATGATAGTTTAGTCTCCAAGTTTACCTAGGTTTGCTTGTTTAAA